GGGGGGGGGGGGGGGGGGGGGGGTGTGCATGATGAATTCATCCGGCCTGTGAATACTTAGCAGCGCAGGCATGTGAATACTTAGCCGTCAAGTATGATCAGGCTAGCGAGTTTGAGTTCTTCAGTCAATATGGCAAAACGTGGAGAAACAAACATGACGTGGAGAAATGAACATGACGGATCCGAAATCTGAAAGCTGATATCCGATGTATTCCACAAGAACCGTTTTTTGGCCCGGCGGCCAGTATGTCAGTTGATTCGGTGAGGGTGTCGGTGACTTCCTGTGAGAGTCCAGTGAGTGGTGGTGCGTTGTGGTTGTTGCTTTCCCATGCAAGATCGGCGCCCCTGTGACGGGGATCACACTCAGCACCCGAGTGGGACGGCTGAGCGAGACACACTCTGACACTGGTTTTCAGTTAACTCAATTACTCCGATGGGAAGGATGGCGAGGGAACGGCAAGGTGGCAAAGTCCGCTGAAAAGTATTGTTTAACACAAGTTTCACGACAAGCGCAAATGGAAGCGGCGTTCAGCAGCTGCAGTGCGGTGGGAAACCTGTTTGTGGGGAAAGTATCGTGTGGAACCACCATGAATCAAACCAAAGGATTGGACAGCGTGTTCAAAAGTTGCAGCAGGTACGCAGGGCTGATCGGGCCCTGCTTCCCACTCTCGCCCACAGCTTCGTTGCGTGTGGTAGGGCGAGAGTGCCACACGCCCCTGCCTGATTGGAGTGGTCGAAGGAAACCCTTTGTCCAGGGGTGGGCACACACACACACCTCTCTCTCTCTCTCCCTACACTCTGCAAAACCCAGTGGAATCCAAGATGCACTAGGCCAGTTTTCGTGGGGCTTCCCTCTGGAGATTTGCACTTGAGCCGGTGAGTTGGCAAAATCGTTTCTGATGTTCTTGCTAGCTGGGTGACAGCCACTTTGATGGTGACATCTGAGGTGATGCCTATGCTGATGCTAAGACCTACGAAGAGGAAAAGAAGGCGGAAGCGATCAGGTGCCGGGCTCAGAAAAGCCTCCGCTTTGAACCCTTCACGTGACCAGCTGGCCCGCAAGGATCACCAGAGGGACATTAGTGCATCACCGCATCCCCCATACTTCGCAAGAGCCAGCCGGCCTAAGTTGTGGCGCCTCAAGGTCACCCCTCAAGGTCAGGTCTTCTCTTCCTTCCCAGGCGTGCGGAAGAGGAGGCGGCACGCCAGGCGGCCATCGACGCAGGCGAGGAGGTGCCCGAGGCTGGCGAGCCACCGGAGGCGGGGCGGAACGGTTCCCCGGGCGAGCCACGGAGAGGGAGCTGTTCCCCTGTCGCAGGGCGGGGATCCGTAGGTGTCATCTGGATTGATCTTCTTGTCTTTCTTCCTGTTCCGCTTGGTTCGCAGTGCGTGGCTGTAAGACATGCAATGTGTGCTGCAGGTTTCTAGTGGGTTCATGGTTTGGCGATGTTTGGGGTAGGACAGGGTGCTGGTTGCTATCGCAGTAAACGCTTTGCGTGTTTGTGATGAGGAGAAGCCGCTGACGATGCGTGGCACCGATGTGAAGATGGTCCTTTGTTTGGACACCTTGGGTCAGCAGCTCAGTGTCCGCCCTCCAGAGGAGTGGAGGTGATTGTGCAGACGCCAGACGACAGAAAAAAACATTGCTCAGCAGTTCCAAGGGCATTTGCAGCCTGGAATATTGTTGGCGTTTCTTTCTTTTTTTTGCCTCTTCTCCTTCTCAGCAAATTCGCACAGAAACTGGCTGAGATTTGCTTCTGGCCAGGCACCAACACAGCCTTCGAGGAGGGCAACGCCATGAAGATCTTGGAGCTGGCGAAGGCGTCGGTCGGGGGGGGCCTCTATTCCTGGAGATCAGTTTGTTGATTTTCAGCGTAGACCTTTTTTGAGGGGTCTCTGATTGAGTGCAGGGTGGACCGAAGTGCTTCTCAGTCCTCCAATGCAACAAAGCACCCCACGGACTCCCAGTGGGGTGGCTTCCCCCACGCTGCTCGAGTAGCCACTCGCTTGCTCGATGGCCCCGGAATTGGGATTCACCCTCCTGCGGAGGCCTGTAGCCAGTGCAAATCGAAGACCGAGTTCAAGCAGGCGCCGCGAGCAGGTGACCGAGTTGTAGACCCTGGTGTCTGGAAGGGAGTCGGAGAAGAGAAGTACCTCTGCGCTAGGCCCGCTAGGCCGCTGGGCTCTACCAACAGGCTGCCTCTCCCCCCCTTAGAGGCAGTCTTTCGGGCGTCACTAAGAGGAAAAGCATTGACAAGGCTGTTGTCCTGGACCAGGCCTGAAGACCTCCCTTTTGCCGATGACCTTTTTACAACAGGGCGGTTAACAAGACTGTTGTTCCAGTGATACAAGTTCTTCTTTTAGGGTTTTTCCACTCCAATATCCTGGACATTTGTCGACGAAACGTCTCTCTCTTCTCTCTCTCTCTCTCCCTCCCTCCCTCTCTCTCTCTCTCTCTCTTTCAGACCCCCCCTACACTGGATACCAAGGTAGATTGGTTGATTCATAAAGCTCCCCCATTTGGATGCACGTATGTACTTGCGGACCATTTGGCGCGCCCATGCCGACCCTTGCCGTATTTCGAGGTGGGTTCAGGTGGGGCTTCCTAGTGAAAACAACAGGTGAAAAGACAACTACCAAAAGCTACAGAATGTACAAGGGATCAGAACTACACGAAACCGACGAAAGGCAACGAGCAGGTAGGCAGTAGACTGGTTCACAAGTGGACTCGAATTAAGAATTGGACTCATGCTGCGACGGCATAGTAGCTAATTAGTCAGACTCATCAAGAATCTATGTAATTTTGGTCAGGATGTAGTATGGTATCGCAATTCTCGATTTATATAGACGGGAAAACCCCTTTCACGTTTTTATACTTCTCCTATCAATCAAGAGCCTCCATGAGTAGGGAATCCCCCCTGCTTTCCGCCGGTGCTTCGCGAGCGCGGTGCGAGCTCCGATGGGCTGGACCCGCATCAGGTGGACAACCAGGTGCTCTCGGTCATCGATGAGACCCACCGTAACGAAATCGACGAGAAGGCCGTGGTTTCATGTTGTTTCTAGAGAGTTCTAGAGTTCGTTTCCGTGGTTTCATGAGAGTTTCGTTTCTGGATTTCCAGTGAGTTCTGGAGTTTTATATTTTGTTGGGCGGTGGGAAGAACGCCCATTGCTGCGGCAAAAAGAATGGTTGTGTGCAGCAAGTAGGCCCTGGAACTCCGAGTTCTGACTGACATGTTTTCTCCACGGGGGCTGCAGTCGCAGCAGTCTAGAGTCTAGCTTTCGATGCTGTGAGGTGGGTCAGTGGGTTGCTTTGCCCAGAAGACACCCAGTCTACTTCCTATTGGCACCTGTGCTGTGCCCACGTCCACCACTAGTGCAAGGTCTACCGGATATTCGCGGGCCCGGCCGCCCTGTACCTGGCTGCCCAGGTGGTGGAGGTCGCCGACCAGGTGGAGCAGGGCTTCATGGAACAGTTGGAAGCGGAACAGGCGGAAGCGGAGGATGAGCTGAAGAAGGAGTGTTTCATGTGTTTCTCTCGTTCTCGAGTGTTTGAGGGATAGAACAAGGGACGCGCGCGCGTGAGGAGGTAGGAGGTGCTGGAACGGCTGGTGGGTTCTATTATCCATGACTCCTTTGAGATGAGAGCTGGTTTTTCAGCTGCAGAGGTAGAAGGGCTGAATCGCGCGATGAAAAAGACATTTTGCACAGGAGCTCATCCAGAAGAAGTTTGCCTTCCTAAAGGCTTTGCAGGTGTGGCCGTGGGTCTCAGCGTCCCCTGAATTTCAGGGTCACCAGGGCGGAAACCTGGCTGGCCCAGGTCTATCAAACCGTCGGGGGCGAGAAGGGGCCACTATAGATGGGCCACTCTGGGCCATCACGCCTGCACAACACCAGTGTGGGACATGTGCTCTAGGCTTGGGTTCGGAAGCCTTTGGCAGGTGGCGAAGGAGATGCACCAGCTGATTGGTGGCTTAACCAGCTGGGTCTACACCACCAGTGATGTCATGAACGTGGTGGCCGTGCCGTGGCGCCAATGAGTCCCAATGAGTCGAGCCTGCTAGGTGGTGCTTTTTTGTTTTGGGGGGTAAGGTCGAGTCGAGTGTTGATGTGGGCAGAAGAATGAGAAACTATCAAATCAAGCAAAATTTCTGTGCGGGTGTAAAAGAGGGGGTTCTTTTGCTGGTCCCACGTTGGAGGGTGTGAGGTATTTGTTTGGAGGTTTGTGAGGAGCAAATTTGGCTCTTGTGATGGCTTGGCTAGTCATATCCGAGAATGCAGCCTTCGCAGGCTTTGGCGTACTTTGCGGGCTATTCCAAAAAGGACATCTATCCAAGGACAAGCTGGCTGGGGGGAGGGGCAGGTACGTCTATCAAGGACGCGTGTGCAGCCGTATTGCCAGATGCATGTGGATTCTCGTAGCCAATGATGGCCTTGAGAAGGCACCAGCCCATGGGAGGATAGAACGTCTGTGGGGATGCCTCACACGCAGCCAAGGAAGCACCAGCAGCACGTTGCTGTTGAGAAGGTGTGGAAGCCAAAGAAGGCTTCCACCACAGAAGGGGGGCGAAGACAATGGAGAGTTGTAGGAGTGTGTAGGTTTAGCTCGTGTAGCGAATGCGCATGCGAGCGAGCATGCAGGAGGAAATCGACCATGGACTGGCAGAAGCTCAAGACGCTCCTGAATGATCCGCTAGTTCTTTTGGAGAAGGTGGTGAAGAAGGAGGTTGAAGGGCCAAAGCCTGGTGCTCAGAGTCTGTTTTTGTGTGTGGTCAGAGGTGTGAGGGACTCCCAGAATCTGTATAATTTGACGGTCTTGTTCACCCTATTTTTGGCTATCGCTGTGAGCCCCTGGCAGTGCGATGTCCAAAGGTTTGTGCAATTCGATGGCATGTTCTTCTCCGTGAACATGCCAAGGAAGGACGTGCCTCCAGAGCATCTCCACAACTTTATCTTGCAGATGGCCTCGCCTGCAGAGATGGATGCGGAGAAAGCTAAGGACCACAACAGTTGTGCGACAACTCTTGAACACGTGTGGAAGGAATTGTCAACAACGACTTTACGTCAAAGGGTTTCACACAAAGAGAATGTGTGAGAAAGTAATACATAGTATATAACACAACATAATACAGCAGTTACAACATAACTACGTGAGACTACGGGGACATGTTCTGACGACTTCTGGGCCGTTTTCCTGCCATTTTTTGGAAGCAACTCACTGACAGAAGAGCTGCGCGCCGGATCGATTTGGTGAAAGCATGTGAAAGCCTCAAACCGCCCGCCGGACTGGCGGAACCCGAGCTATTCGCGGAACTGGCCTGCTCTCGAGTCAGGGCCCATTTGGCTGCGAACGCCCAGGCCGAAAGTGCCGAATGCGGCGGGTTTGCGCCGTCGTCTCTCTCCCCAGCAGGAGATCTCCCCGGCCTTCCAGCTGCTTTACAATCTGGTTCAGGCCAATGAGCATTGGCGGTGCATCATGGTGCATCGGGTTTGGGGGGCGCAGATGGGGTGAGTGAAGGAAAAGCGAAAGGAAAGAACTCGAAAAAGGAAAAGAAACGACAAAAGGGAAGGAGTCCAAGGTGACAGCATTCAGGAAGGCTTGACGTTTCTGGTCTTTCATCTGATACAAAGGTGGAAACTTTGTGAGAGTTCCTCTCTTTTCCACGAAAGAGCGAGGTCAACGGTACGCGTTTGGTCTGTCAAAGGAGATTTGTTCACCATTCAGATCATCCGGTTTTTGGCACGGCCGGTGTGCTAACATGGTGCTCCCACGTCTCACCTCAGCCAGGCAGGATGCGCCTATCGGAATGCAGACCTGGAGCTGCGGAAGGTGAGGGAGTGGTGCTGTGGGAGCAATCCAAAAAGCGTCGACGGGGTATGTGACTTGAGATTGGAGACATGAAGGCATCTAACAAACCCCCCATATGAAGAGGCTGTTCAATTCAAATACAAAGGGTTTTTTTGAGCAAGAGTCTACATTCAAGTGCTTGCTGACCTGCCCCAAAAACGGCTTCCCGGCATGCCCCAAAGAAGAACCACACCTGTACCTTTGACCTCACCGGAGCCGTGGCCGGACCGGACCGTTTGGGGCGGCGGATTCGATGCCCTCAGGCGGAGTTCAACAAGAAAAAGGAGGAAGCTGGAGAGGCCCCCCCCCGGTCGCCGGACCTCGCGAACGTTCGCGCAACGTCGGATGGTCCGATCTGGTCGACCGGGTGAAGGTCGGAAGGCGGTCCGGAGGCGGGGAAAAGGCGTTGAGCAAGAACGTCTTCTCCCAGTTTCACGGCCTCAAACTGGATTTGCGAAGGACTCCCGGCCACACACCTTCCAGCTTTTGGCCTAGAACCCCCTTTGGCTTTCGGGATGGCCCAAACATCGGTTCATTTTTGCGCTCCGTCCGTCACAGCCGCCCTCTCCGCCCGTCGTCGCCGCCGCGCCGTGGGAGGAATATGAGGGCCCGGCCCTTGAAGATCTGGACGATGACTTCAAAGAGACCGCCTAGGTGCATCGGCGCCGCAGTTCGGTGAGTTCCATGAAGACTTTCAGACTGGTTGGATGCCCCAGCCCTTGAATGGAGGAAGCATGCCCAAGACACTGCCTGCTGTGATTGTGGGTACGGATGCCACCTCTTCACGTGGAGGCGACCCCTGAAGTCCAGAATTCGTGCAAAGCTTCCAGGGCAGGGCCAAACGGCTACTGCTTGAAAAAGACTTTAGGAATGCCCTCGAATCAGTGGGCTGCCGCACTTGGCCCCAATGAGGAAAGTGTTTCAGGTGAGGTGCGAAGATGGCGGAACAAACCAGACCCTACAAGTCAATCATCTCATTTCACTGAAGTTGGTCATACAAAAACACTATTCAAGAAGGTCTTCATCGCCCCCGACTGGTTGTGCAATGGGGCCAAAGGAAGCGGTGGACACCGCAATGCCACAAATCCTGTGGTGTTTCACCGGCGCAGATGGCTGGAGCTTCTAGAAGTTCCATGAACATACAGTGAAGGGGCCCCAAATGATCCAGCTTCTTGGGCCTCAATCCAGCTTCTTGGACCCCAGGGAGAAGTCTCAACAAAAGTTAAGGGTCTTGAAGTACCTGGCTGCCTAGTCTTCATTGTTGCCTCACCCATTCACGAAAAAGAAGAGGTCCACAGTTCACAAAAACAGCTCCGGCTGGCGTGTAGACTAGAGGGTGAGTGGCCATGCGCTTACAGTAAATCTCTCACATCCGAGACAGGACTGGATCGCGAAGGCGAAGGAAAGGATGGATTCGTGATGATTCGTGTCTGATTCATGGGTCGTTTGGCTTTCTGTAGCTCGGTCGTTTGATGCCGCACACCACTGCCATAAACAGCCGCATTGGTAAAACCCCGTGCCAGTTGGAAGGGTCTCTCCTGCAGCGCCACCCATGTTGGACGCAAGAACCACACGCCATGCTGGCTAGTGCATGAGGTTGGGACGGTGCTCGAGCTGCCCGAGGCAGAGGGGCCATTTGTGCTGTGGAGGGAGGCCTCCTCTGATGACAAATTCTTCATCAAGCCATCCTTAATAAGGATTGATTGAACCAGAGATCCCCTTGTTAGTATCACCCCCCAAGCCCAGAAAATAAGGGATTCTTTCTCCCCAAGCTGTCCTGTGGGTTGGCACCATCTCGAGACTGTGTGGCTAGTTGATTCTTTTTGGAGTGAAGACGCGGCTGAACATGTGTTGTGAGGTGCCACTAAAAGAAGTCCGCCATCACCAAGAAATCCTCCAGACTCTAGATGATTCCAAACAGATAGAAGACGACGCCAGTATCAAGAAAACCAAAGGTATATGTCACATACGCCGTTTGTGTTCGCATTCAGCTTCGTTTGTTGTTCATCCGTTTCTTGTGTTCGACCACGGGTCCCTCGTGGTGCTTCGTAAACTTCAGGAGCGGCTGTGAGCCTTTGAGCCCTGGAACGCTCACGCGGAACCGTGCGTCCTGGTTCGCCCCGGGCCCGGAACCAAGAGCCGGGGCGCTCAGGCGCCCGCGTCGGCCCTCCCATTCGGGGGTGTCCAAGCCGAGAGCCGATAGCCCCTTAGAGGTGAAGGGGTGCGAAGTCGGGGTCACCTGGCTGGACAACTAAAGGATACTATAAAAATCTATAGAAGTACTGATAGGTTAGGCCTCCATTGGAAGCGCGCCGCGTGGTATATAAGTACAAAGTTGCTTGACTGGGGACCCCGGCCCATGCAAACAATTGATGCTCTTTGATGCTTTTTGCATTTTTTGGTTGTAGAAACGGCTTGGAGTTGGGGGATGAGCTTTTTCAATGGGTTGCCCGCGGAGTGAGCGGCCTCATGACTGGTCCACCAAATTCGATGTCTCCTTCACCACCTCGTGTTCCGGTCTGCTCTGGGCAGTTGGGGCATCGATGGCCGCGTAGATGGCGAGAAGTTAAGTTTAGGCCCCCTCCTAGGAGAGAATCATCTATGGGGATTTGTTTTATATGACCCACGGCTTTTCGTTGAAGCATTCATCCCAACCTTGGTTGCAGGATCCTGGCATGCCGAACGGCGCCGGAGGCGCGACTGGGGGAGGCAACGGCCCTCGTTTGGGGGTGGATCGGAGCTCCATGAGTTCCGCACAGGAACTGAGCAGAATGCGCTTGCTTCACGTACGCGAGAGATGTATGGCTTATGGGCGGAAGTGGTTTATGCCTCAAATATATAGCTATTACAAATTATTCCGTATATACATTATATAGTTCTATTGGTCCTACTTCTAGCTGCTGCACACTCTGTGCGGTATAATACTGCAGTACTTGCCGGGAACCGAATAGAACTGAGTGACCCACCAAACTATTCCAGGCCATTTCGCTTGATGGAAAGATGTGAAACGTGCTGAGTGTTGGTCGCTTGTTCTGCAACTCTCAGCTCGGGTTCCAGACTCAGGTTGGAGGTGAGTACCCCGGATTTCTTGGATGGTCACTGAAAAAATCTACTCAAAGACCTGGTGTTGGCTTTGTTGTGCAGCTGTTTGGGAAGGTGTGGGCTGTGGATGTTCGAAGCCCCTAGCCAGGTCCTCGAGCTTTGTGCGGAGCACCTCTCGGAATTTGATGCCATCAACCTGTCCACCGCGCTGGGGTCCTGAGATGGCATGGGTGGCATGTTGGGCTCGGCTCCGACTTCGAAGTGGAAGCCCTTCTGAGTCGGCATGCCTCAGCATGCCTTGGCATGCCCCAAACTTCGTACTTCTTTTCGATTTCAGTTGGAGTCCGATTGGAAGACCCCATGGAGAAGCTGGATTCAGAATGCGTGGACTCTTAGGTGTTGGGGCGGATTTGGGGTGTAGACTTCTTGTCACTCCCAAGTGGATAAGCAGTGGTGCTGGGTTGAGAGTCTCGACCTGGTCAACTCGGCTCAGCCATTTTGACGGTCCTGACGATCCACCGAGCGCCCGTGCATGGAGGAATGCCTTCTCACCACACGGTGGACTCATCCGGACATCCACGCGGTCTAAACTGGCGAGCACGGTGCCGGTTTCCGGTCATTTCATGTGACAGGTGGCACGGTTGCCCCAAAAATTACGGCCACCTGTCACATGCCACCCCCCAGCTGCGGACATCATGACTCCCCAGCCGAGGCTGCAATGCCTGGCACGGCTGAAAGCCGATCCCTCCGAGAGGTGCCGATCCGCGGCGCAAGGGGGCGCGGCTTCTCTCCATCGCGGTCGTGTTTTTTTCCGCGAGAGACTTCCTGGTGCTGAGCATTCCTTCCTGGTGCGCCAAGGGTGGCATTCATGGTGTAGAAGTATAGTATACTGTAGATGTATAGAGAGACTCCCGAATGGCCTTTCGAAACGATTTCTTGGAGTGTGGAGGAGGGAGGGTTTGATGTTCTGCAGGCTTTTCGGCTCCCAAATTGACACATTGCAGCGTGGAGTTTCTTGCGGAAACCTTCCGCAAGCCATTTGATATCCACTCCCCAGTATATGCTTCTTGGAGGGGGTACAGCGCACCATTTTCGGATTGACCCTTCTTTTGGTCCACGTACTTGGCTCGGCTCGCACTCGGCATCCTGCTCCATGTTGCAGTGCTGCGTCGTGGACACACAGCAGCTCGACTTGGCAGTGGTGGATTATGATGCCCCGACCACGCGCGCAGATCTTTGAACTTCCGCCAGTTATGATTCTGTTTGCCAGACCCCTTTATTCTAGAAGTTTATCATCTTGAAAAAAAGCACCAAAAAAAGCACAAAAAAAGCAATCACAAAATGCAACCAGAAAAACAAAAGCAAAAAAGCAAAAAAACAAACACAATTGCAAGCAAAAACAACTCAGCCGGGTGTTCTGGCGCACTTTTTGGAAGGGTCCACTTTCTGGTGCACTCATGGGGGAGGGTCCACTTTCTGGCGCACTTTTGGCGGGTAAAAAGTCGCACTTTTGGTCGCTTTTTTATCCGCTCTTTTTTCGTTATTTTTCGTAACACATAAATAATGCGAAAAAAGGGCGAAAAAAAGCGAAACCATGCGACCAAAAGTGCGACTTTTTACCCGGCCACGGGAAAAAAGGGGAAAAACAGCGACCAACAGCGCGACTTCTGACCCGGCGCCGAAAAAGAGCGACCAAACGTGCGACGTTTGACCCGGCACCAGAAGAAAAAGCGACCAACAGTGCGACACTTGATCCGGCACCAGAAAAGACCCTTGTCCAGTACAAACCCTACCCGGCCCCTCCAAACTACCCTCTTTGTTTTGCTTGTGCTTTTTTGGTTGATTTTTTTTGCGTTGTTGGTTACTCTTTGTTTTGTTGGTGCCTTTTTGGTTGTTTTTTTGGCCTTTTTTTTCAAGTTTGTTGATTTCTAGAATAAAGCCACCTCTGGTGGACACAAAGTTATGACTGCTTAAAGGCTTAGAGCGCAGATATGTATAGATTCAGCCCTTGGATGTACTGTAGGATTTTCTTGTGGGCGACATTGAGTTGTTCTTACTTCGACACTGAGGACCGATGAACTAGAGCTCCAACCTGCCGACCTCACAGAGGCAGCGAAAGGGGCCTTCCAGCAGGTTCACTGTAATGGCTTTGAGTCATTGTCACCTAGTTTAACTTGATCATTGGCAGATCCACCCCCCAGCAATCGACAGGCCCAAAGTGACCCTAAGGATTGGGTCGAATTTCCTTGGGACTCCTGAGCACGGCGGGGCTTTTTCGGTTCCTGTTTCAGGTGGGAGAAGGAGCTCTGCCAGGCAAGGATGGTGATCTGACCTTTGACGCTCGGTCGCTAAACGGCCAACGGTGGGCCACCATGGGGTGCACTTGGCGCGTTGGGGTAAAAGACATGGACAGATGCTCACAGACTTCACAGACGGCCTAAATTGTATAACTTTGTAAGGTTTTGCGGACACATTTTGCACGAAGGCACGCCAGTGTGCCGATTGTCAGGCTGGTGCAGCAGTTCCAGCAAAACGATATGATGCATATTATAATTGCACACGCTTTTTGGGTTTCCGATGCTTCCGCTCCCTGTTTGGTGCTTCGCGCACCGCCCCGGCCCTGGCGCCGGCCGAGACGGCGTCGCACGGCCGAGGACGTCACCCTGGAGGTGCAGCTGGGCGGCTTCTACGGTGCTGACTTGATCGCTGTCGGGAAGGCCCCGGTCGGGGGCCGAGCACCACAACTACCGGTGGGTGGCGCGTTTGAGGGGCGGAGCCTTCAAGGTGCTCGGCTATGTTGGGTTGGGGGTTGGCGCGATGATCTTGCGACCTTCCACGTATGTTTGGCTCAATCAGAAGGTGCATGGGTGGGGTTGGGAGGGAAATATCAGATAACTATCAGGCAACCTCCATTCTTGGCGCAGGTGTGTGTGGTCAATGGAATCAACGACCGTGGCCTGATCTTCGAGTGGAATCAGGACGCGCCAGCAGAGCAGAAGGCGAGCAGAACAGCAGAGCTCACGGATGGTGGAAGGTTCTCCAGACGCCTCGGGGAGGTTGGAGCCCATGTTTGGCTCACACGGCCGTGGTTTGAGAAGCTTTGACCCTGCAAAGCCAATCGACATGTTGATAGATAACCCGGTGACGACTACTCTATATTTGGCATCACCGAAGTGCAGAAAATTTATTTTCGATCACAGATCACCAAGGCGATATTTATATAGATCTAGATAAATAAATGAGTATATATATATATACACATTGCGCGCTGATTAGGGAACCCCCTGGGAGTACCATTAACATAAACAATGAGAGTCACACACGCACAAATCGAGAAGTTGCTACCCCACGAACTTTGTCGTGACTGAACACTAGTTGTCTGCAACATAAAGCCAGAAAACCAGACAATAGAAACAACGATCTGGAAACCATGCCCAATCCTAAAGCAAGAAAGCCAAAAAAACAAAAACAACAAATTATCTGGAAATATGCTCAATCCTAAAGCCAGAATCCAAAAACATCAAAAAACCAATGATTTCGAAACTATGTTCATCCTACAAAGGTTTGGGCGTTTGGAAAACATTGTTTTTTTTATTGTTTGTTTTTTTGGTTTGAGCATCACATATTTTTGGGATTAGTTGGGAACACATTGTAGTTTGATTCGAGGTTTGAGAAGTAGTCTATAAACACCGTTTATAAACACAACACATGTTTATATACAGTATACACACTGTCTTCTGATGCAGCAGCGGTAGCACGTCATCTCGTCCTTGCACCAATGTCGTTCGCCTTCGAACCTCTGTGTAAAGAAGCTGGGTCCATGCAGTTGACAAAGCTGGACCAAATCTGTGCACAGAATTGTTTACAACTACAATTGCATCTATAATTCAAAGGCTCTATGTTGTCCAGTGAGTGAGACTCAAGGTTACAAACCCTCTGACAAGTTGAAGTATTCATAACATTTCAACCTATCATATAAATATGAAATCCACACCCGCAAAAATTGTACTAATTATTGGTATTATCCAAGAACCACTGAACACTTACTTTTCTTTTGGCAATTTGATCCTGCTTTTTGTAGTTCTTTTCCATCAAAGTAGCTTATACTGCATTTTCTGTCAAAATCATCATTGGTACCATTGTTGTGCCTATAGAGTCTTACCTTATACACAAGGCTGTCCAATTCCATTCAGGATAATATTGTGCAAGAAAATTGCTAGAATCAACTATTGCAATATGTCCACCAATGCGACCACCTTAAGCAGAATGGCAAGTTGAACACCAAGCAAGAATGAAGTTTGTTTTTCGTTGTCAGTCTCTAGTTATTGAAGCATATTAGCATATTTGTTTCACATTCTTCAAGGCAATGGTGTCATTAGCAACAGGAAAATTTGTTTAAACATTACATGAAAAACACTTGTTTGTGATTTGGTACGCTCCCTGCATATCAAGAATTCGGCTATATACTTCATATTCATGTTTTTCACCTCACTTGATACATTTTTACACGTCGTATTCAACTATGCCATGTTGTATGTGGACGGCATATTATCATCAGTATATCTAACGTATTTCTCAATCAGTTTAGCGTAGCTGGTTGGTATTTAGATGTATTTGGCAATATTTAGGTCCTGATATTGTTTAGCTTTTGTTCACCCTCTTCTGTGTTCAGTTTCTTATATGCTTTCAGCAATATATATGCTCAAACAAAGTGCCAACAATTGCATCAGCATATGGTTTCATAGTCTTTAGTATTTGTCAGCTCCTGAACTGGCTTTAGTTGTTTGGCATCACCTGTGGCAAAAAAGTGTAGCTCGACAAACTCTTTGGTTTTCCAATACACACCCAAACCGATGAAATCGATTTGATAAAAACTATGACATCAAATTCCGAATAATCAAAAGGTTCTATTTTAACATCACCAACACTTATACCAAAATCTTGTTTATTGCTATGGCATCACTTTCAAATTTGTGCAATAACATTAGTAGGGCATACAAACAGTACGGTGCAGCCTGTATCAAAAAGTTTCAGTCAGATATGACCTTAGCCTGCTTCTGCAAATAATATCCTAATCATTACCTGTTTCATTTTTCAATTTTGCTAGCAAAATCATCAGTATCAACTCATCATCCGTTTTAGAGGTAGAACTACTATAGAGGTTGATATTAATATAGAGGTTTGTATTTCTACAATTTGATTTTCTACAACTTTGTAAAGTTCATTAGGTAATTTAGTTTCCGCATATTATATTTGCTCACTCTCCAGCCTCCAGCCTTATTAGTGGAATCCAATTATTTCCTTGGGTTCTTGTCATCTTAAGCCTTGATGGTGAAAGTGAAAGCATCAATCTTAGCACTATGTAACATTTTATACATTGAAAACATGGTGTTGGAAAAGAAGTTCTTTGATATACCTGCATCCATTTGTAATTGTGCCTTATCCCTCAAATCAAACATGTACCGCAACATGCTTCCTGTTCAATTTCAAATGACGAATGGCAACTATGGTTTCAATCACTTCCTTCTTCAACTTCTTCCCAAGACACTACACTTGCACACACACACACTTGGGGCGCTGACATTAGCACTAGCAGCTTTAAGTTCAATAAGGAGTAGGTCTCGGAACACCTCTTATTGAGGGGACCCCCTAATCAGCGCCCGCCCATATACATATATATATATGTATTGGAGGTTTTTGAAACCGTTACTTGGAGCATGACGCTTTTCACCATGCGCAGCTCCTGGCCTAAGTGGCCCTGACTTTTGTTTGGTTGGGGCGGGCCATGGTGCGGTGGCGGCTCGTAGTGGCGAGCCTGGTGTGGACCATCGGGCCGATCGATGGTTGGTGGCAGGCGGCCGATGAGGAGGAGGCCGAGGTCCCGAATGTGACCTGTTGGGACGAGCCGGTCACCTGCTTCCAGAGACAGGTCCACGCCACGGTGGCGGCTGCCCAGGTGCAGTTTTCCACCCTGACGACCTGGGACAGCTTGGCTTGGACCCTGCTGGACACACTTCTGTCTGGGGCAGGGTGGCTGGTCTTTGGACAGAGTTGGGCCAGCGTCAGGACCGGCTGCTCGATGATCTTCCGCGTGGCCTTGCTGATGGGGATCTGCCTCGTGTTGCACTACTTCCTCTCGTTGGCTTGGCCGCTGTGTTCCTTGGTCATTGGAACGTTTTTGACCATCGTTTGGGTCGTACGAGGCCTGGTTCGGTGCTGCGGGAGGACCGCTTTCTATGCCCAGCGGATGGCGGGCGGGGTGCCAGAGGTGACGGGAGCGACCTTCATCGGCCAGGATACCGGCGAGATCCCGGAGACGGCTGACCTCCGCAAGATGAAGAAAGGGGCCAACGAAGATCGATGGGTTCTCCTTCGGCGAGATGGCTATGTGGTCATCATCAAGGTCACGGAGAACGCCGCGATCAAATCCAGTGGGATGTACTTGAGCTTCGACCCGGATGCGACTCGTGGAGACGCCCAGCTCCTACTGGCTTTGAAAGGGTACGAACGGGTGCACCTTTGCCGACACGACTCATGTCCAGAAGAAGGTCAACACTTCAAGAGCTATGCCTTGGCTCGACAGCTCAACCCTGAACGTTTCCACCTCCTTTCAACTGCTGCTGGGGCGCAGAGGACGGGGATGAAGACGATGGGGTGGCTCTTTTCAAAGGCTCACAAGTCAGCGAAGCGGCTGAAGGACTATGCCTCTGAGTCTGAGCGGGAGGAGGTTGGAGGATGCTGTGCACACCTTGTCCGATGGGAAGGTGAGACTGGTCGAGTTTGCCTTAGTGACCACCCGTGCAAGAATGGGGCCGCTACGGACGTGGAGATGTTGGAGGAAGACCGTGGGAATCTCCCCGCTGACCAACAAGCATCTTTGTGCTCGGCCCATGCAGTGCGGTACCTAACACTGCGGGCTACTTTGAAGTGCTCATATGGGGGTTGTCAGAGGCTCGGAGCGGTGACTAAGCAAGGGTTGCGCCCCTGCGGGGTTCATCAGGAGCAAGCGTCGACATCATCCAGGCGTTCCTCGCGGTCGAGATCCAGGGCAAGGGACCCACACCCGGGAGAAGACGAAGGTGAAGAACGGGCAGAAGGAGAGGGAGATGATCGGGCACGGAGACGGGGGCGAGCCCGGGAGGTGACCTACCAGGTCGACGATACGGAGTCGTTCCTGCGAGATGTCCGTGAGGAGAAGGAGGAGGAACCACCTGCCCTTCGGAGGAGGAGGGTGTCGTCTCCAGGCCACACGCCAAAGTCCTCAGTCCAACACAGCTTGGCCCGAATGGGAATGATTAATTCTCCAGACCGGAGACCTATTTGGAGGAGTTCATGGAGCAGATGGCTGACGGGAGGGAGCTTCAGCTGGGAGAAGAAGACATTCGCAAGCAGCTGGCAGCCCAAGCAGGGTTGACTGTGGGCGACCTCACTCGGCATCTCTATGAGCAGGCGACGGAGGAGCAGAGAAAGGGGACGAAGGGTCTGACCAAATTCTTGGCCAAGTGGCGTCAACAGGCTGCTGCGCAAGATCGCCCTGCGTCCTTGTCGGACTGGAGTGTGGTTGAGAAAGAGCGGGAGAGCTCGGCACCTACACCATCGAGCATGGCTTCTGGGACAAGAGTTGCTTCAAGCCCGGGACAGGTTGAGACACCTCCCAAAAGGAAATTGGCATTGGTTCCACCCCCGGGGATCTACGACCCTGACAGGAAGGCCGGTACTGGGGCGGAAGAACGGGCTGGACATTCCGAGATGACCGACATCGCCAAAGCGATCCAGCAGCAAACGAATGAACTGGCTACGTTGGTCAAGGCCCAGCAGGAGACCACCACGGGCATGGGCGGCTCGCTGAAAGGTTTGGGGAAGACCTCTGAAGAACTGGTCTTTCTGCTCCGCGCATGCGGGCAGTATACCGTGCAAGTCGGCAATGAAGAGTACGGTGCCCCACTCGCTCAGGCCTTGCTGGCGGCTCAGGCCGGTTCGTCAACAAAGTTGAGGAGCG